TGCTAATAAATTCTCAGATTTTACTCGCCAGTGTGTGAGTTGGAGGCTAAGTATAAGTTTAGCTCAGATATATTTTCACTCGCGTAACACTCTGACTGAGCGCATCAGAGTTTCACTCTTCGTCACGCGATCTGTGCTGTTTTTCAGTTCATCTCAATGGATGTGCAACACACCTGTATTTAACATCACGTAAACTAGTGTGAAGGCGCAAGACTCGCCGTTGCTTTGTTTCACACAACCTCAGTGAGAGAGAGAGAGAGAGAGAGAGAGAGACGCGCTACATGTAAACAATATTCTATGTTGTATTTTGCTGTCAAAATAATGGAGTTCCTTTGGAATTCTTCCGCTTTTAAAAACTGCCGCTTTCTCCGCTAGTTGGCGGAACTAATGCGCAAACGGCAATCTCATTGGCTGGTGCTCACCTATTATCGTCCCTGTTTTGATTTCAGCAAATCAGTTTGAACGAACGCACACAACCTGATTAATATTCATGAATCCAGTAGCTCAATAATCCTTGGTGCGTTTTATATTGTTCTTATTAGTAGAATTCGTATCGTTATTATCTTATCAGTATTTTTGTTAGTTTTTCCCCCAATTTTTTTTTTTTACAGAAACACTGAATGACCAAAAAAGCACCACCACCAGTCCGAAGTTCAGTTAAAATGACTAATATGCATTCATACATGGTTATCAAGTTTTAATTCTAATTACTAAATTTCTATCATTAAATAATATTGATTATCATATTATAATGCTTGACTGACTGATGTTAAGAGTGTACTTTCAGATATTTATAAAACTGTGCCATTTTACAAACAAACACACACACATACATGTGTATATATATATATATATCTCAGTCTGGCGAGGAAACTAAAAAATTTACTAGCCAATGGCGATTCAATTGCCAAGGTGTTCGTAGAGGGCTGTCTTCCCTTTAAAGCAGGGGCGGACTGGCCATCTGGACATTCTGGAGAAGTCCAGAACGGCCGTCGGCCTGGCTGGTTCATCATCAAAGAAAAAGTGTCAGATTAAGAGACGTTGACGACCGACAAAAGGGGGCGCTAATGCAATCTTTTTTCGCTTATAAGAAACCGAAACTGATGCAAAGGAGTGTGGGCTCGTGATGGCAAGCAAAAGACGTGAAGATAAAGGCGGTTGGGAGAAGCTAAAAGGAAAAAAAGCAAACATACGTCAGGTTACCTTTGCCCGTCTCTCTCACTATGCACAGCATGTAGCCTATAGCACTATAGTAAAGTCCCAGGTCCGAGCGTCCACTGCTATTTATCACTCCGCATTGACTGGCATGAATATTCCATTCATTCATAAAGAGACCGCAGCGGTTCTACAACGGGTTACATTTGAGAGCTATTGAGTAAATGAAGTAGCCTATGAGGTGATTAGTCTGATTAACATGACGTACACACAGACATATGAATACTCAAATTGAGGAATTCTGTTGTTTCAGGTTTCTAGATTCTAGGTTTGTTTATGTTTATCATGGTCATATACATTTTGCATTCAACTCTATGTAGATTTCAAGTATTTTAGTTCATACAATAATACATTTATTTCAATCCTCTGTTGAAAAAAAAATAGAAGCCATCACATAATTTGTAATGGTTTTACTGGTTGTAATGAAAATTGTATTGGTTTTAATGGAAACTGTAATGGCGCCTGTTGGGCTCTACTGGTAATTGGTCACCTTCTATTCATTGCTTTTGTTAAAGCCACTAAATCCTAATGTAATGTCCCAAAGCACACTACAGGAAACCATTAATTAATGGTTAAAATGTGATGGTTTGTAATGGTATTTGTAGTGGAAATCATTTGACTTTCTGTGATGGTTTCTATTGTTTTTGTCAGCAGGGTCACCATGGGTTTTGTGATGTTATAAATGCGATAGGATTGCTGTAATATTGTGAGATAGTAGCGACTGTTTGTAGTTGTGGTGGGCCTATTTGGGAGAAAATCCAGGGCCGTTTTTTACTCCCAGTCCATCCCTGCTTTAAAGTATGGGTAATTAAAAGGATCCATTTTATCAGAAGTGTTAGTCCTTCTAATCAAGTTGTATATTAGGAATCAAGAGCATTTTGTGTACTTTGATACACATTTCTGCCTTGATAAAGTCTCATTTTGGTTCTTCTCCCTGTCTTTATATTCAGATGGTATGCAATGCAAAGGGATTTTGACTTGTAGCTTTTATTTGGAAGTTTGGTTTGACTTTTGATAGTAGTTTATAACTCTTACAGCCTCCTATCTGAACAGTTGTCACATAGTGTTTATATTTTTCTTCCCTACAGCACTTGAAT